CAGTTCAAAAAAGCGCCCCTCCGACAGCCTAACCCATCTGTTCTCTGATTGGATTGTTACATTTGTGATTGACATGACATTGACCAATCAGATGAAGGGTAGAAAAATAGGGTCAAAAATCCGTACTTGTAACTTGCAGGGATTTTTTTTCTAAGTCCACACACAAATCTTTTTTACACATACAAATCTTTTTTACGCACACAAATATTTTTTACACATACAAATCTTTTTTACGCACACACAAATCTTTTTTACACATACAAATCTTTTTTACGCACACACAATCTTTTTTACACATACAAATCTTTTTTACAAGTACAAAATATTTATGACCACATTTTGAGCCCATAGAAATAGAGCTGCTGTGAAATCTGTCTGTCTTTGTTATTACGCTCAGCGTCTTTTAGTTTACATTTTGACTGCACAATTGTGAAGTCTTTGTTATGCACAAAAACAACATTGTTTTATTTTATTTATGGAGCATTATTATTTAATGAATGCTCATAATTTATTTTTGAGTAATTTTTCATGTACATCTGTGCTGAATGTTAATAAAAGTGCCTGTGTGACATCTGGGACACAGCTTTTACTAAGAACTCTTTTTGTTCTTACTTTATGGCTTAAAAAAATATCGAGATATATATCTTATATCTCCATCCAGCTAAAAAATATCGAGATATGAATTTTGGGTCATATCGCCCAGCCCTACTGGAGACTTTTTTCGTTAAAGGAAACATCTTGTTATTGAACTACTGCTGCACAATAGAAGAAGCAGGCAAGAAGTTACACAACCATCAAATTAACGATAACACAATTGGAAGACTGCAATCCAGAAACATATGGAGCAGCCAAAGCATGTGAAAGTCAAACAACGCTAAATGTAAAAGGGGAAAAACAAAACATTGTGTTCAACCAATGGAAAAAAGAGAGAGAGTTCTAATGTAATATAGATTAACACACTGTTACACACCCAGATCACTCAGATTCCTTCTCTTAATTCAGCTTTTAGTTTCCACAATACTGTAAAAGTAATATGCATACACATTTTGATGCTCCCTTGTTTTGGGTCATTATGCTCACTGCATTTTGTTCACCTGTTATACAATATGAAACTGAGAATTAAAGTGGCAATATGAGCAATTTTAGGATGTGGATAGTGGAGCTGAGTTTTTTTCCGTTTTTTTTTTTTTTTTTTTGTCAGCTACACGAATGAAATATGAAGTGAATGCGCATGGTGCATTTTCCTAGCACAAGTGCTACTGGATATCCCTCACTGTTCAAACATTGTGCTTGATATAGAGAGTCACAGCTATGCAGGGAATGCATTTGAGATTTTGCAGGTGTTCTTCTCTGTGAGATATGGTAAACCAAATCTCTCCTCCAGCCCTGCACGACAATTTAGAGCAACTCTGGAGAAACATCTTTCAGTCCTTAATAAGATGTGGTGCACTGAGTTCAGGATGAGGTAATAATCATTATGACTAAGTATGCACCTCAATAAAAAAAAGGAAAAGAAACCATTATAGCATTATATAAGCTTTTTTTATTGTTATTATACCAGGAGCTGCAACAAACAATGCCCTGGGCCCCACTGGTAGTGCTATTAAATATGTGTTTATCATGGGATGCAATAATCTAAATGAATGGGTTTTCGTTGCCATGTGTCTCAAGGATCTCTGGGTTTGTGATAGTAGGATACAGTAAGAAGGTTCCTAGCAGAGATAATCATGCTTAATTTAAGGGCACGTCTCATTTATACCTTAGCTGAGTCCTTATCTGGCTGTCTGTGCTATCAAACAATAATTACCTGCTCTGACTTTTGATTTAAAATGTGTGACGTCCATTTCCAGCTATTTTTGTCAGATTTTGGAGAATTACCCTCATTTGAGCCCTTAATAGTGCAGTCATATTTTCTCTGTCAGGTACAGGTGGTAATAATAGTCACTTGTCATATTTCCCATTGTGTCTGTGTGTTATTTTTCACCTTTCCATTGTATTGCTTCTGTCTGCTACACTTGGTAAGCAAAAAAAAGGGAAAATGAGGCTGGCCGGTGCCTCAGTAGTCATTTTCAGAGCCTTGTTTACAGACACATACTCTAGCAGTCACATGTAGAAAAACCACATTATGTCAAATCTGAATTAGCTGTGTTCCACATGAAATAATCCAGAAATCACAACCCGCTGTCCTTTTTCTACACTCTCAAGGCTAAATCACCCCTACATGGCCTCGAATAGATAGCTGAATGAAACTGGATCTGTGAAGAGAAGAAAAAAAAAAGGGGGGGTGGGAGGAGGCTGGGGGTGCAAGCACTGTGGGAGTTACACAGCCTGCATGCCTTTCACTCAATGGGCCACTCTTTGGGACATTTCCTCAGTGCAGATTTTTCAAAAGGGACTTGCGCTGCAGCTCCAGCAAAAGGGGCAGTACAGTGGGTCAACTGCCACTAGAGTTACAACCTCTCTTTTGTCGAGGTGTTGGACAAATTAGACCTCACAACTGTTTACCCAGTCATATAGGGACAGCTGCATCACTCCGCCCCTCCAAAACCTGTCACTGATGGTCGTTCCTTTGGGGAGCCATCTGTGAGGAGTAAGCAGCGATCAAATGATTGCTCAACAGTTTTACCTCCGTCACTGCTGGGGGTGATCATTTAACAGAGCGAGATGTGTGTATTCTGTGATCCAGCTGTGATGTTTCCACTGTTTTTCTTGATGGAGCTAAGTCAGGGTACATGTTAAAATGAGCTGGTAGGTGTAAGTGTGCACCAGCATCTGTGCTGCATCCTTTAGATTTTTTTCCCCCCTGAGGAGGGTGTAACTGAACTTATAAATATAGTCTTGTGTGGGTATGTGTCATAACTGGATAATTTGGTATAAAGAATAATTCTTTGAGCTCTTCCATTATAGAAACATTTATTTCATTTAATTGTACTAGCAGTAATGAGGCAGAAAATATGCTAATATCTCCATGTAATCTCTTTGGGTGCTGTCACAGTTCTTGGTGGATGCCACAGGATTCAAATGAGCCAAATACACATGAGTAGAAGTCCAACATTCAGATGTGAATTTTAATTATATTGGTTTGTGGTTTTTAAAAAAAGTCTGCATTATAAAATTATAGGTTTTATGAATAAAGTAAAAGTAAAATGCTTTCTTGCCATTTATTTTTTTAACTGGCAGAGTTTGATATCTCTAGTAACACACTGTGAATGATGTCCTTGATTTTCATCAGTTCTTGACTCACCTTTATAGAAGCACTGTTTAATACCAGTTGTTCATTTACGCATTGATTGATTGATTGTGAAAAAGGTTTGCTCAATCCGTATAGCAAATTTTATTCTGGATTTTAATCAAATTTTCTTTTTACATTTTTACTCCACTACTACTACTACTTGCATTTACAATATACATAAATTTTCACAGAACATCCCATGCAACATTTACATCTGTTTGCTACACGGCATATTGCTGCCGACCAAACTGCAGTTGTTGCAGTTTGCATCTCAGCGACACATTTACATTTCTGAGAAGGTTAGGTCCAAGCTAATTTGACTGGCAGATAATTAGATGTAGCTAAAGCATAATTTTACTATGAAATGTAGCAGAAAATGAAAGCTAATCATTTTGTAGACCCACCTGACTGTAAATAGTTGTAGCAATAAGCATCATTTTTAAAGGAGCACTTTAAGCAGGAATAGATGTTTGGGACATAAGCATGAAATTCAACATTGTATTATAATGATTATAATATTTGACTTCCTCTGAGGATATATTTTTATGTGATACAATACTAAGATATTTTTAATAGCCTATAATATGTAAACACAATCTGTATGAACTCATCATTATTTGCTTCTATTATTAGCATTGTTTTATTTTGGTTATTTTACACATCTCCATTCATTACATTAGTATTACTACATAGCTTCAACTTCATGCTGACCTTAAGTTGTTTCTGCACCTTAGTTTTAGTCACTATTGTTAATCACCATTTTCATATAAATGTAGTCATACATAGCCCCTATATACCTGTTGCTAATACTGAGCTAATGGCAAGTTATTACTTTAGTGTCAAAATACAACTACCTAACTGTAAAACTGTGTGAAGCTGTGCATTGGTTAATTACACGGAGACATCGTTGTACTTTACAAAGCTCCTAGCAGACTTTCAGTGTTTCTTATAGTAAATAATAACCTCTTTTCACAGTCGCCCACTCACAACAAGCACGCTAACAGCTTGATTTTCACATTGAGCTCACATCTTTTTTTTCCCTGAAACTCCAGAGGAAAAAACAAGAACAAAAAACTTGTATCTTTATACAAAAAGATTTATATAACTATCTTACCTTTTTCAAACCCAGATTTGAGTTCTGTTTTGAGAAAAGAATTTTTAAACATTCTTTTCTGACCATTTTGTTCTGCAGTATGTCCACAAATGGATACAGCTAAGATCTGTTCAAGAATGTCATATTTATTTGCCCAAAGATATAAAAAAAGTGATGACCTTTAGGCTACATTGTGTAAGCAAATACAACAAACTGGTGTTCTCCTGAGACGTACACTGGTTCATTCATGCTTTTAAGCTCCTCTGTTAGTTCAAGATTACCATTGTACTATTGAGTTGAAAAGGCACGGCTCCATAAACCATGCGGGGGAGTGTGAGGCCAGCTACTTCTTATTTATCAGCAGTGGCACTATCAGCAGTGGCTTGTGAAAAGAGAGCCAGTCATTCAGAACAGTGGGGCCACCTTGGCTGTCAAGGCAGGATTTAGGCTACATTTCCCATGGTTGCCATGACGACTGTGGGAAGTGATTATGAAGAGAGGGTTTCGAGCAGCGCTGTCACACCAGTGGGTATTACCATAGTGGTTTGCACGGTGATCATCAGAGAATTACTGGCTCATGATCAAACGATATTATTATTTTTTTGTATCCACTGTTATTTTTGTGTCTGAAATATGAGATTAATGTATGTGTTTTCTTGCTTCTGTTTTTTCTAGGGTAAAATGTGGTTAAATGGGACAGGAACAAGTAGACCGTGAGGATTCTCTAACCCTTGCCCCTGTGTCCCAACCGTCTAAGAGGGTGTCGGACCTCACTGAGGCAATCCTGGGCCGTTGGCACTAAAATGTCCCTAAGTGGTGGCACTGCAGGCGGGAAAGGTGTGGACTCTAATGCGGTGGACACTTACGACAGCGGGGATGAGTGGGATATCGGTGTTGGAAATCTGATTATTGACCTTGACGCTGACTTAGAGAAGGACAAACTTGAGATGTCTGGCACCAAGGACGGTATGGCGGCACCACCAAGTGCAGTTGCGGCATTGCCTGACAACATCAGGTTTGTTAGTCCAGTGTCTGGCTCTCAAGGCAAGGAAAGTAAATCCAAATACAAGCGCAGTAAGAACTCTAAAGACAATAATAACAAAGCTTCAGCTGGAGATGGGGGTAAAAAAGAAACTACAGGGCGGACTCAAGGGGAGCCAACAGGCACAGCAGCAAGTGCAGCAGCTGCTGGCAACAATTCCACCTCTGGGAAGAACATGGAAAAAGTGGGAAAAGCCTCCAGAGGTGTTCTCGGCGGTAAAAAAGAGAAAGACGGGGCTAGTGGGAAAAGCAAGAAGGACAAAACAGATGGCGCCCCTGTCGTTGCAATAGGTGTCACAGAGAAGGACGTTGTCTCTCAAGCCCAGGTTGCTTTGGGAAATAGTCGTAACGCATCCTTTGAGAACACGCAATCAGCAGACTTGGCAGATGCCAATCAAATGGGGAATATTGCACTTGAACCTGTTGGGATAGTACCAGCACTGACTACAAAAACTGAACCAGAGGAGGTGGAGAATGGTAATGGAGAATGCAAGACGTTAAAGAAGGTAAAAAATGAAAAGGTACGTTTTCCTTTATTTTTGGTTTTAACTTTGCACATATCTGTTTGGCATCACTGGATTGGGTTATATTTGTCCTTGTGAAAAGAATTTTTTAACTTCTCGTTTTAGTGAAATGTACCTTTGACATTAAATAAGTTGTTTTTATTCATTAGTCTCCTAGAAAAAACAAACATATTGGCATACGTGGGTTTTTTTTTTTTTATCCTAACTAAAGCCTGCTAAATTTGACAATATTTTCTATTTCTATCGAAATCTGTGTTGACAAGAAGAATGCTCGCCTTGTTTATAAGGTGAAAAGTATCTTTGAAACAGCACTGGCTTTATTTATCATAGAGAAATAAAAACAGTAGTAAAAACAGTAGTGCTTAATACTGTAGACTTCTGGAAATTGTGCTCATAAGGGCCTGTTGCTTTCTGCAGGCTTGAAAATGTACATTCCCCAAAGCAGTCTGACATGTGATGCAGAAGAAAAGACCAACTGCTGATTTCTCTTTTATTACCATGCGATGAGAAAGGGTACCCTTGATGTATAAGATGCTGAGTCCAGCTACAGGAAATGGCCCACACAGCAGTGTTTTTTTTCCCCCTGTTCTTGAAAGCAGGATTGATAATTGCCTGCTTATTTTAAATGGTTATTCCATGTTAAAAATAAATGCCAACAAGCCTCAGTTGAAATCAAAGGTATTATGTGCTTCACATGAGCCAGTAAAGTACCAGTGGCTGACTAAAATGTAATGCACACTGTCACGCAAAACCATAACATAATCCCTGTGAAGTGAAGTAAATGTCAAAATTTCTTCTTCGTTTTTTTTATTATTCGCACAATTTCAACGCTGACATTGTCATACAGGAACAATATAAAGATCCGTGTAGCTATTCACCCACACTTATCTTGTTCACTCATAGAGTTGATCTATCACTGTCTCTATTGTATGCCTCATAGCAGCCTTTTCATGCTCTTGCAGTATAAAAGACAGCAGAGCAGGGAGGTGCTGAGGACTGTTTTTGTCTGTCATCGTGTTCCATTCTTAATCCCACAAGCCCCAGCAATGCCTGGTGGAGCAGTGTGTGGGGGAGGGAGCTGGTGCAAAGCACGCCTTCATCGTTTTTCCTGCTGCTCTGAAAGTGGCATGGGGGATGGGCTGTAAGGAAGCCTGTTTGATTCCTTAAATCCAGGACACCCAGACATGAGCACAAGCTGTAGAGCTGTCGAGTGCCGCGAAAGGAAATTTCAATGTGAAATCTGTAATTGCGATGTATTTCGAATGAAAAGGTTTCGTGAATTGGTTCACTGCGCTGAATAAAGGAGAGGGGTCACAACTGCTTTTAAATATCGATCTTGATTAAATGTATCCTTGAAAGTGTGATGGTGGAGGAAAGAAAGGGATGTGATTGCGTTGCTGCATTCATCAGTTTTGGCTTGAAGAGCAGTTTCATTTGGTGTCCAATGTTTAATGGATGTGTTTTTAAAAACCACACACATCAAAAGTGCATTTACCTCAAAGAATAAAACCAAACAAAAGCTGCTTTCAGCCCTGCTCTTCAGCCCCGAGCTTTTCTAAGACTTAACCGATAGAGACACAAATGTGTGACGCCGCCTGACTGGAAATTAGCCAGCCTTTAACCTGCTAGCTCTCTTAATACAAAGTTGTTTTGGATTGATGTGTGAATAGCACAGCTAATATAATAACTGTAAAATAACCATTAGTGATTACTAGTTCAAACACATTTGAAGTAGGCTACAACCTGCTGTTTGTTACATGTAAGTAAGGACCACTTCAAGGAATATTTTATTCGCTTTTTAAATATTTTTTTTAAATGTATTTATTTTATTGATTTCCTTTTGTTAAATAGCTAAAGTTTGCACTCACTGGTCAACTCATTAGGGACACCATCTGTTCCTAATGCCTGATTTACAGCTTTGCGTTAAATGTACATGTCGCAGTGATGCAGACCTCGACAGTTGCGATAGGTCTGTTTGGCAGTAGAAATCTTGCCATGGGCGGCATGATGGTGCAATGATTATCAGTGTTCTGCACAGCAAGGAAGTTCCTGATTCCTGCAGAGCTTGCGTGTTCTATTCAATTCAGTTTTATTTATACAGCGCCAAATCACAACAACAGTCGCCTCAAGGTGCTTTATATTGTATGGTAGACCCTGCAGTAATACATATAGTGAAAACCCCAGCAATCATGTGACCCCCTATGAGCAAGCACTTTGGCGACAGTGAGAAGGAAAAACTCCCTTTTAACGGGAAGAAACCTCTGGCAGAACCAGGCTCAGAGAGGGGCGGGGCCATCTGCGCGACCAGTTGGGGTTAGAGAAGGAATACAGGACAAAAGACATGCTGTGGAAGAGAGACAGAGATTAATAACAGGTATGATTCAATGCAGAGAGAGGTCTAATAACAGAGGTCTTCCTGTACCTACATGGATTTCCTTTGGGCAGTCTACCTAAAATTCAAAGGCATTCATTACCGTGTATGCGAGATAAATAAAGTGCTTAAAATATAAAGAAGAAAGCTGTGTATAAATGTATAATTAAATTTTAGTCTAAAGCACTTTGAGTGGGACGATTAGAAAAGTGCTAGATAAATGCTAGTGCATTCCTTTCCATTGTATGTGGTGTAAACACCACAAGTATTGATTAGCACTAGGAGATCAAGCTTGAACATTATATTGTGCATTAGTTTTTATTCTGTTAGTGTAGACAATTATGCCTTTCTCATTTTCATGGCTCATAATCAATCCTTATGTAGACATAGAGTTGGTTTTGAAATCTTTTCTCCTTACTGGCTTTCAGTAAACATAACTGTTGATCAAGTACCTCAGAGATGTGTGGTTCGTGTGCAGTAACTTTTGTGTTGGTGGTACCTGTGAAAAAGTATCTACGCAGATGCCAGAATGCCAAATACCCCAGCAAACATTGCCCAGAGCGTTGCAACGCTTGTGCTGATTTTTCTTCTTCTCATAGCGCATCCTGCTCCATTTTTTTTCCCCATGTAATTGAAACACATGGTACAGGTCATCTACACAAAATCCTGCACGCGAATGCAAGTAAAAAAGGTTTACCACAGCATAGAAACCATTTGTAACACCCAGGAACTGAAAGACCTGATTAGACCTGACCTTTGCCACAAAATGACTTGTAATAGCCCAGGATCCGAAGCGTACATCCTCTGTCAAATATGGTGAATAACGTATTATAGCATGGGCAAATATAGCAGCTAATGGAAACTAATAGGACAGCACTTAACTGTACAGATGGATAATGACCTGAAACATAACAGCCAACGCAACCTGAGAGCTTCTTTGGCAGAGAAACTGAATGATGTTAAATGGCTGCTCCAGTCCCCAGACCTCAGCCCAGATAAGCATGGGTTTTCACTAACTGAAGACTAAACCAAAGGCAGGAAGTTGTAGAAACAAGCAGCGAGTGAAGCTGGATTCTGTAAATGTCTGGCAAAACGTTTTTTGGCAATCACTGAAAAGTATTAAAAACAGTGCTTAGATTTATAATCACATTGGTTTGTCCATAATTCCATAAATCACATCTTGATTGCTTCATTTCAAATCCACTGTGGTGGTGCACAGAGGCAAAATTGGAAATAGTGTCAACTGTCCAAATATTTACAGACTTGAGTGAATTTTGGACGCTGTTTTTGTTTTTTCATCGTACACAAGCCAATTTCACCAGCTTTCAGCGTCCACTGACGACATTTGTTTTACTGCCTGTGAAATTGATACTAAATCTGATGGGGGGGGAAATATGTGAAAAACGACCACTGAACTGACTCACAACTCCCCTTAGTCATCACAAGTACTTGCTTATCCGCCTTCTGCACACTGTTATTTAATGCCTTCCCTTTTTACCTAATCACATCCAGAAGCTTTACAGGGTAATATGGCATTTGTATCAAAGTCTGAATGCTTTTTGTATATAAATGTTATGCTTGAATGTGTATATTATGTAGAGTTTAACCATAGAGCAGATTCTTAGGAAGCAAATTTGGATATTTGTCAGCCTAGTTACAGCTTGTCTGAAAGATCTAGTTTAAAAGATCTTGTATGGCTTATCCAAGCATTAATCAGTATCTGTCTCACTAGTAATCTTGTTCTCAATGGCAGAGGTGTAATAGCTTGGCTTCATTGCCTATGTCCTAAGTTAAAGGTCCCCAAAGCCTTCTCTTTGTCTACTTCCTTTGTACAAGCGCTAACTACCTCTGAGTGTGTCTCACTCTCCCACCTCTCATTATACAAACCTAGAGGAGTGAGGCATTCGTCAGCTTCCTCGATGTGCCACCGACCTTGATAAATGGAGCAGCTCTCATGGAAAATTACATAGGCAATGCTACTTTGAAAAGTGGGCAGAAAAGGGAAAGACTGCACTTGAATGAAAGAGCCCTGAATACAGCTCTGCATTCCTGTTGATGTCCAGCTCGGTGAGTTCAGGGATATCATGAGAAGAAAGGCAGAGTTCTTTCTCTTTGCCTGTGCCTGATGGACTGTTGCTCTTGTGTTACGACTCATTCCTTTTGAGTAGTGCCAGGGATTTTAAAGGCTGTGGAACAGAAGGAGGACTGTGATTTATTTTGAGAAGGGGTACGAATTACACCAACAGGCTCATTGCAAAAAGAGCCTGTTAACTTACCCGTTAATGTTCTGGTAAAGCCAATTGTGTATGTATGAGGAGAATTAATCCTTTGTTAACAGAATAATTCCCTTTTCTGTCCTGTGAAAAAGTGCAACTGTGCATCGTGCTGTTCTTTATTTTCCCCGTTTTTTCAGAAACGTTTTCACGTGCAGGACTGAATGCTACAGGAGCTTTAAATACTTCGATTTACAGTGTGGTTACGTGACAGATCTTGTGAACTAATTATTACCTTGCACTGCTCAGCTGACTAATCTGTCTCAACTTAAGATGTTTTCACACATGAACTACAGAGAACTTTGGGAGAATTGGGTCAGGGAATTGTCCACAGTCTTTACTAGCATGTAGCA